GAGGGTGCTCAGCCATTGGAATGGGCTGCCCAGGGAAGGGGTGGATTCTCCATCCCTGGAGGTTTTCAAGACAAGACTGGATGTGGCATCAGTGCCATGGGCTGGGAACCACAGCAGGGTTGGATCAAGGGTTGGACTTGATGATCTCGGAGGTCCCTCCCAACCCAGCTGATTCTGTGATTCTATGAAAACCTGTGGTTTGGGTTTTTTTCAGTCACCACCCACCTTAAAAATCCCTGGTATGGTGGTTTAGGATTGCTGGGGTGATTCAGTGGAGTGTTTGCTCACTGATAATTCGATTTAGCTGATTTATACCTGCACAGCAGATATTTGTGGGTAGATTAACTTCGGGTTTGCTGGACTCTGGTATGTGCAGGGCTTAGCAATTTGAAGTTGCACCTATCAAAATCTCAGATATAATAGAGGGGAACACGACCCTGGGTGAAAAAACCACGGAATTGGTGCTTTTGAAACATTTTGTTGCTTTTTTTGAGCAACCTGGACTAGTGGAAGGTGTCCCTGTCCAAGGCAGGGGGTTGGAACTGGAAGGCTTTTAAGGTCCTTTCCAACCCAAATCACTCTGTGATTTTATGGTGATTTTTTACAGAGGTTGAAAGTAGTTTTGGGAGGTTCAGGAGTTTTCTCTGAGAAAGATAATTCAGGTTTGTTCTTCATCATAGTGAGGATATATCATGCTTTCTGTTCTGTCCTGTTACTTGTTAAATTTTTTTTAATATTTAATTTTAATATTTAATTTTAATTTTTAAACAAAAATAATAATTTTGGTGGGTTTTTTTTTCTTTTTTTAATTCTCCACAGCCCTTCAGAAGTTATTTCAGCCATGGCATGATCTCAAGCCACATAACAGATAACAGGTATTACTCATTATTCCCTGGGAATTAGTACCTCAGTATGTTATTCCCATATCCCTGATGCCAGAGTGCATCAGTTATAATTCCTTTTGGGACCATCTCAGTATTATCACATGTCATATTAAATAAAACCAACATGCAAAGGCACTTCCTGGAAGGGTAAAACTGAATTTTCACGGGATTTAAAGCTGTAGTTCTTAAATATACAATGTGATTATGTTTGAAACTCTCCACCTTGTGCATTTGATGTGATCCATTTCTTCCCTGTTCCATCCCTGGAAGTGTCCAAGGCCAGGTTGGAGGGGGCTTGGAGCAACCTGGGCTAGTGGAAGGTGTCCCTGCCCATGGCAGCGGGTGGCACTGGATGGGCTTTAAGGTCCCTTCCAGCCCAAACCATCCTGTGATTCCATGACAAAGTTTTAATTGAAAGAGGAAGGTGGTTTGTCTTCTGTTTCCAAACCAAAGTTCTGCTGTTCTGAGTTAAATCAAGGTTTTTTAGCTACTTCCATGTCTCTGCAGCTTCCTCTTTATTTGGAATAAACCAGTGTCCCTCGTTGTTTGCAGCATCCCTTCGTGTTTGCACTGAAATAATGAAAAGACAGACCTTGACCCCTCCAGCTGAATTTTGGGCCCAAAGCCAGAACTAAACCCAAAATAGTTTTCTTTCATTCCAATACAGTCATTTCAGGGGTTTTCAAGATGGTAAGTTTTAAACATAATCACTTTTCAGTTTACTTTTAAAAAGAGGAGGGGGGGGAAAAACCCTTCTAATATCATTTGGGAACAGCCTTGAGATTTGTTCTTGTTCTTGTGCCTGAAAGAAATGATCACCTTGTCAATGCAAGCAGCTTTTTCTTTTGGAACTTGGTCTTTACAGCGGGAAGCTTTGTGAGCCCTGGTAAAATTCACTACTTGGTCCCTCAGGCTTGAAAGCTTTAATTTCATTTGTTTTTAAGTTCCCTGCCAAGTGTTTTTTGGTGGTGATTCCCTGTTTCCCCCCCAGCCCCAGCCGGCAGCCCTTTGTCCTGTTTGGCAGCCACTCCACCAAGGAAAACCTGAACTCTGGTAACTTTAATTTTCCATCAGAAGGACACCTTGTTCGGAACACTGGCCTTGGTGGGAGCACTGCCAAGCACATGGTAAGGCTTTGGAGTAGTTACCTGAGATTTTGGAGCTTTTTTTTTTGGCAGATTTTCTCTTTTTCTTCGTGTGTTCTTTGTGCTTACCTTCCGTGAGTTAAACACCTAATTCTTCTTAACGTAAAAACACGTTAGTTTAACAATTAGTTTAAGGAAGAAATTTTCTTTTTATTTCTTCTTCCAAGTTATAAGGCTGGGTGCTTAATCAGGAAGTGATGAATGATTTATTTCCTGTAAAAATACAGCTTTTTGAACAGTTGTATGTGGGGTGGGGGAGAGGGAAATGCTGTTTGTGAGGACGTTGGTCATGAAGTGAAACCCTTCTATGATGTGTTTAATCCTGACACACAGATATGATTTTAATCAGATTCCTTAAGAAAGAAGTGAAAAGACACCTTTTTTTTATATATTAGAACAGAATTTTGTGAATAGACAGGAGATCTTTATGTGTATCCAAATTCCAGCTTGCGTCGATGAAACAAAACCCAGCGAGTGTCGATGAAACCGAAACTCTCTGTGGTGTTCCCAAAATGTTCCAATGAATCTGTGGTGTTCCAGGAATGTTCCAATGAATCTGTGGTGTTCCAAGAATGTTCCAATGAATCTGTGGTGTTCCAAGAATGTTGCCATGAAGTTGTAAAGATTAACTTGTTTCCATTTTCAAGTAAAAGCTTAGTTGGTAAACATTTGATGAGGTCGAAGGCGGCGCAGGGGCCGTGACCGGGGGAGCCACCCCCGGCAGTTGGGATCCTCTGGCTGGAGGGGCCTCCTGGCTCCAGAAGGCAACGGGCAGCGAAGGAGGAGAGGTAGAGTGTGGACACCTCCCTGCTCCCTCCAGGGGCTCCGGGAGTGTCCGACAGTGGTGCGAGTCCAGATGGATGTGGTTGAGTCCAGGTCGTCGTGGAGTGGACGGATGAGTGAGGGGATGAGTCCGTGACAACATCCCATATGCACTTTCCTCAGGGAATGGATGGACGTGGGTGTTCTGGACACATCAAAAGCCTGAGAAAGGATTGTTTTGTAGCATCCTGCTGAAACCTCATCCTCCATCTGCTGCTCTGACACACTCTCTCTCTGAAAACACTTTCAACTTTTGTCTTTTCTTCCCCTGATAACACTGAGACCATTTGCTGCCTGTCCGAGTGCGAGTACAGTTTTATTCTGATGTACTTGCTCCATCTGTTCTCCTCAGATTCTGATGCTGTTCTTAAAAAAGGTGGTTTATTTACAGGTACAGGTGAGACTGTTGTAATAGGGTGTCATGAAAATAGTAAATAAGACCAGCATAGTTATGGGAACCTGACCCACTTTCCTCTCCATGAAAAGAGAGCAGTTGGCATAGGAAATTGAGAACCCAAGTCAGAGCTCATCTCCTTCCCAAAGTCTTTCAACCATTCAGGTCGAGTCCAAAGTGAACTAGACCTTTGAAAAACGTAAGTTTGCTTTTTCCAACTCCAGTTCCGTGTGTGTCGTAAACTTCCTGTAGTTTGTCAGTGCTTAGAAGGACTTAAGGGGACCTTAGTTTATTGTCCATTAGTGCCCCAATTTGCTTTGCTAATGTCTCTTTGTGTCTCATTAATACTGACTACCAGGTAGTGCAGTGTGTGTCTCCCAAGGGACCTCTGGCTTGTTCAAGGACCTATTTTTTTGGGACCAGTCACGTTCCTTTCCTGGGTGAGTACATCAAAAAATGCCGAGGCAGATACTCTCTTTAATTATTTTTAAATTTGCAGCAATTAAAAGCTGGCTCTGATCCCTTTCTGAGCCACAGGAGTGGTGGGTATTGTGTAGTTCTGCAACCAGGGCATGGGATCATAGCAGATTTCAGGGGTAAAATGTGTCAAGAGGTGAGTGTTCCACAGAAAATCTGTCAGATCTGACTGTGCAGGCCTTTCCCAAGCACTAGACAAATATTTAAATCAATGTTCCTTGCAGTTTGATAGAAGAAAACTCTCAAAAAATATAGTAGTTCAAACTATTTATTATCCTCAGATAACTGAGGATTTTTAAAAGAACAGAGGGAATTCTTTCACCCTGTTTTTAATTTTTTAAATTTTATTTAAATTTTTTTTGTTTAAATTTCCCTTATCCTCTGGCTTGGGCCCAACATAGTGGGTTACAAACAGCTGTTTTCCCAAATATAAAACCAAGCCACATGGAATTTTTAAAGCCCATTTTCTTGCCTGTTTTAAGTGGCTGTAAGAATCCTTGGATAAAGTCAGTCCTTAGGGTTGCTGTGTATCTTGAACCCATAACCAGCTTAGAAAACAGCTTAGAAAAAAGAGAGGATGGTTGGAGCATTGGAATTAGGGATGGATTTTTTGTGGTTGTGCTTTTTCCTGGGCACCCAGGAATGGCCACATTGGGATACAGGAGAGGGCTCCTTGTTCTGACCCCCTGCAGCTGATTTTGGGGGACTCAGGACTCAGTCTTGGCTGCCCTGACACAAGTTGTGCTTTGCTCTGCTCTAAACCTGCAATCCAACTGCAGCAACATAAACCCCTGGATAATCCCACGTGAAATGTGCAGCAGAAATGTCCCCAAAGTGCTTAAACCAACCCTTTTTTGTTTTGTTTTCATCCAGGAAACGACAACGAGGTGCACAAGGAAGCTGATCAAGTGTAAGCTTTTTATATCATTCCTTAACTCTTCTCTCTTTTTGCCTCGTGGCAGTTGGTCAAACCTGCTTTTAGTGGCTGTTGGCATTTGCAGAGACACGTTTTTTTTTTATTCAGAATAATGTGATTGTGAGAGGGTTCCAAAGGCAAAGTGCTCGTGGAGGGTTTCAGTGGGCAAATTAGGAATTTGCTGTGGCCCTCCCTTCTGCTGTGCAGCAAAGTAGGAAAGGAAATATTAGTAAATATTGCAAAATTTTAATTAAAAAATTCTTTTAAGTTACTTGAATAATTTTTAAAGGTACTGCTTATATAGCAAGAGGGAAAGTATCTCAAACTGAACAGGAGCATCATCCACAGACAGAAAGAAAAGTAGTTTTCAGACCAGTTTCATCAAGTGTAAGATTTATAGTGAAATGCCAACAGGGAACACTCAAACTTGCAAAGGAATTCACTATGGAAAGTCAGATAAAAGTTACTTTTTCAGTTGGGAAGCTGCAAAGCATTTTAACCTTCTCCAAATCCAAGTGTGTTTATCCATGTCCATGTCCTGCATGTTGGTAGATCCTGTCCAGCTTTAGGAACATAGAAAATCTGCTTTGGTCCTGCTCTCTCTCTCTCTCTCTCAACAAACCAGACCTTTCCTTAGGGATTTTGTCCTCCTTGGGAGTTGGGATCATTTCAGGAGCCTGGATTTGCTTCTGCAAACCTGCATGACCTGTTAGCAAGAGATTAAAGATCTGTCAGTACTTTAATACTGAACTACTGTTGATTTTTATTAATTTAATACTGTTCTCAAAGACATAAAAGTGGAATTACTGCCCTGAGCAGCAGATTTGTCCTTTTTTTTTTAGTAAAAACTCCAACAGGTAATTTTTCTGCTCAAACATTACCTCTAAAAGACTTTAAATACATTTCTAGCTGAGGTGAGTAGAGAAGCTGTAAACAAAGCAGTTGATAAAGGCAGTGTTTTTATAAGAATACCTTTTTTCTTGGAAGCATCCCTGTGTTGGATGAAATAATCAACAACAGCAGCATAATTAGCTTTTTTTGGCAAACCTGATCTCATGACTTTGGGCTTTTTTTTGCAGCTGAGTCCTGTAACTGGTTCTTATATTTGTCAATATTTCCATAAGCAACATTCAGCCCAAATTTGGCTGTATTTAGGAAGCAGGGCTGCAGCTTGGCTGGAATGCATAAACTGACTGTACCTCTGAGGATAAACTGGGGGAAACTTTGTAGCTTTATATTTTTTTTTTCAGAAAATGCCATTCTGTGTTTTGCATCGTCAGTGTTAAAATTTTAAGGTGGGAAGAGGAGTAAAGTATTTATACTGATACCCTAATATTAACTGTTGATGATTGATGGAAAGCACGGCCCACTGAGGTGTTTCCTTGCAAATATTTATGTGAATTTGAGGGAAAAGAGGAATGGTCACAGAGTTAGGAACAATTAGACACGTTTCCTATACCAGATGCACTGAAAATACATTGACTGCTTATTTAGTCCATGGAATTACGTGGAAGAAACCTGAAAAAGTGGTAGGAAGTTTGAATTTTAAAATCACTTGGTGCTATTGGGGATGATCAAAGTCAGGCTTTGGTGCATTTTGAGGTCCCTCCACATTTGGGAGCTTCAGGTGCTCTTCTGCCATCCCTCAGGGATGTTTGCATTTGGCTTCAATGCTGGATCCTCCTCTTTCCTCCCCCCTCTCCCCTCCCTTGACACCAAGCAGTGGCAGAGGAGTAATGAGAGGAGTTAAAATTTGGGCAAGTGGGACTTTCTGGTCATTTTACACATCTTTTAGTTACAATTCAGCAGGAATTTTGAACTGATTTTTCTTGGTTGGGCACAGGTGGAGGTTTTTTTCCCAGTTGTTCTGGAGCTGTAAATGTGAAATGGCTGAAAGTCACTCTTGGCTTCACCAACTCTGGTTCATTTCTGGGCAATTTTTTCAATTCCCTTTTAAGAAGGGAACAGGACTAAGCTGTGATGTGGATGTCTTGGAATCCTGGAATGGTTTGGGTTGGAAAGGACCTTAAAGGTGATCGAGTTCCAGGCCCTTGCCATGGGCAGGGACACCTTCCACTAGCCCAGGTTGCTCCAACCTGGCCTTGGACACTTCCAGGGATCCAGGGGCAGCCACAGCTTCTCTGCCCAACCTGGGACAGGGTCTCCCCACCCTCCCAGCCAACAATTCCTTCCCAGTATCCCATCTAACCCTGCCTTCTGGCAGTGGGAAGCCATTCCCTGTGTGCTGTCCCTCCATCCCTTGTCCCCAGTCCCTCTCCAGCTCTCCTGGAGCCCCTTCAGGCCCTGCCAGGGGCTCTCAGCTCTCCCTGGAGCCTTCTCTTCTCCAGGGGAACCCCCCCAGCTCTCCCAGCCTGGCTGTGCCAGGTTGTTGCCCCTTTCATGGCCTTCAGAAGTTGCCTCCCTTGGGCAAACAATCAGTGACCCAGATTATCTGGAGGACTCCAAGGCTGATTCCAAGGAGACTGATTGCATTGAAATGGAGCTCCCTAAAACAATGGGATGTGATTCTCAACAAAACTGCAGTGAAAGTCAACAGGAAAACAGGTTTTTACTCTTGCCTGAGCAGGGCTGCACTTATCTCAGGAGGTACCTCCCCAAAATATTCTGTAACTCGAGCAACTCCCTCGCTCTAATTTAATTTTCTCAAACCAAAAGCTTAATTATAAACCTACTTTTGCACTCATTTGAGCCAGGACCCCTTTTTATATTAAGAGGTTTGTGCAATGAGAGGAAGAACTGCCCCTTTAGGCAGAGGAGGAAGAAAACTCTCCGTGTGTAGTAAATGTGTGTGTTTGATTCTCTCTTCAGTGCTCTGTTGTCGCAAATCTATTCTGCTGTTGTAGAGGCTGTGCTTGCTGGCATTGAGTGCTATGCTAAAACTTCCACTGAATCCAAGGTAAATGAAGCCCCCCCTTCTCTCTCTCGTTGTTCATTTGGATTGCTCACGCTGGGCCATGACGTGCAAACCCAAATTAAACCCTGAGAAGAAACCCTTAAACCCCAAATTAATGTCGTGGTTCGTCTGCGTAACACAAAGGTCAGCCCGTGGCCTCCAGCCAGTCCCTGAATCCTGCTTAAAAAAACCCACCTTTCAGGGTGTTCCTGTTACCCACCCACAATATTTTGCCATCTCTCATGAATTTTCCTGTGAAAGAACCAATTTTAGCCTGGTGCATCAGTGTGTTCCTGTTTGGTGTCTCGTTTCTCTCACGGGTCGTCTCCGGTGGTTGCCGGGATTTGGGAAAGGATGGGTGGGGAAAAGGGGGTTTCATCCTCCATCTCCTTTTTCTTTTGCAGGCAAAGGAGGTGGCAGAGCAGGTGCTCATGGCTGTGTTAGACACCCTTTGCTTGACACAGCTCAAATCTGCTTTACGGTGGGTATTTCCTACAGTTCCTGATCGATCTCTTGTCTCCGTGGGGAAAAATATCAAATATATCAAATATATTGGGGAAAAATATGCCAAATATTGATTTCAAACTGGCTACCAAACACTTCACGATGCATTCAGGCTTTTAAAATAATTATAATTCTCCCATTTGCCTGCCTTTTTTTATCACTTCAGTTATTTTGCTTCAAGTCTACTCCTGTTAATTTTTCACGTGTAGAAGAATCCTAAACAACGTGTCTCACCAGTGCAATTTCTCTTCCTGCAGCTCCAAAATTGCTTTTCAAATTCAGGCTGTGAACAATCATGGAAGGTTTGTATCACTGCCTTAGACTTCTTGTTATCAATTAGTGCTTTTAATACCGTGATAAATTTATTTTTCTTCTCTTGGAACTTCTCTGAGAAAACGTTGCACTCGATTATTTCACACGAGATGTGCAAAAGGCTTTTGTGGATGAGATGGTTGGATGATTTCATATCTGTAATTCTGTGGAATCCTAAAAACATTAAAAAAAAATAAGAAGCAATTGGGCAGAGCAGTTTTATTAACTGTTAATGAGTAGAAGCAGCATGAGCTCATTAAGAGTTCCCTTTTAAAATTTGCTTTTAACTTGGTTGATATCACAAGCTTGTGCTTCTTAACCCCCATGCTGTCTGATTGAAATGGCCTCCACAAATAAAAGCTTATTTTAAATTAAAATAAAATAGCTTTTTTTTTTCCTGGCTGCTTTGGAGCCCCTAAAAATGATCTACCTTCTAAATATTTAATTGTCATTGTTGTTCTAGAATTACCCCGTTAGATAACGAGGACAGCCTGAGTTTGATCAAAACGGTGAGTAAGCCCTTCATTATTTATTATTATTGTTTTTATTTTATTTGAATGGTTTTTATTAGAAAATAGAGCTCAAGTGGCAGGTTTTCTGGGGCTTGTTGAGATCTTTATCTCTGTAAGAGGAGATATGAGAGAGATCTCAGATGCTGCAACAGGTTTAATATTAAGTCAGACCGTGGAAATTGGAATAAAACATTGACGTTAATTAAGATTGATGATCTCAGACCTTCCACTACTGTGGAGAAGTGGTTGTTTGGGGTGCTTAAAACACACAGATTTCTCTGTTTCACTTGAAATGATTTCAAGTTCTGCTTTCCCTTCCCTTCCCTCCAACCCTGGGATTGCTGCAGGCGTCCATGATGGTGTTTGACATTCCCGACTTGCTCACGGGAAGAGGATGTTTGGGATCTGTTGTGTTTTCAGAGTCCTTTCTGACATCACAGATACAAGTCAAAGAAACAGGTGAATATTTGCAGTTCTGAGTGTCATTCTCTTGGCTTGGCTGTGCTGGAAGAGCACGAGGGATCCCAGTGGATGTTGTTGCTGTTCCTCTGATGGGTTTGGAGCACTTTTGGTGGGAAGGAGAGCAAAGGAAGAAGCCACATAAACACCAGACTAAATGAGGCTTTCTCTGGAATTGTCCAGCAGCTCTGTGTCTGTCAGAGCACAAGAACACTGGGAGTTAGGCTGTTGTGACTTCACTTCAACACTCATAAATCCTTAAAGCAATGAGAACATTTTCGTATTTCCTGAAGAAATTTCAGCTCTTAAAAGCGACTTATTGGGCAGTCTGAAGTACAGGGGTGGAATTATGGTTTGGTGGGCGTGGTGGCTTTAGGTCTGAGGCTGGATTTGATGAACTTGGAGGTCTTTCCCATGATTGTCCTGCTTTGCTTCCACGGTTTTCCCTGCAGATGGCAGCATTGCTCCAGAAACCAGCCACGTTGTCCTGACTGCAGGAATCCCGAGGTTCACATCCTGGCTGGTGAGTCCACACACACTCACCTGGCTTTGTACACCAGGGAATACTTGTTAGGGATGGATGGATGGATGAGGGAAAACACAGAACTTGGGCATTGAAGCAGAATGTTAATATGGGAATCTATTCTGATTTTTGAATTTGCACATGGAGTGAAACACTAATGGGTGGAAACAGGCTGTGGATCCGTTCTTAACACAGGTTTGAAATCATTTTTAGCTGTTACAAGTACACAGGGTAACTTCTGGCAAATTCTGTTTATTGTGAGGCACTCTAGATCACCCCAACAGGAAGCAAGGTCTGATTCCAGCCCTCTAATGTGCTGCCCTGTGTTAGAGGCAGAATTCCAGTGAATTTAATAAAGCTGAGCAACATTCTGCCTTTGGCAACCCATAATTTACCAGCAGTATAAAGTAAGACTGGATGGGATACACTGTTTTCTGTCCATACAATAGTATTTTAGCCTGTAAAAGCATTTATTGGGGAGAATGTTATGCATTTAATTTCATGCAAGGAACTGTTTTGGTCCCATAATAAACAGTATTAAGAGCACAAAACTGCCTTTGCAGCACTCTGGGCTTGTCTGCCTCTGGTACTTGAGGTTCTTGTTTGCCTCAAAACTTCCTTAATGTTTTTTATTTAGCATTAGACTGCCTTTATTTAACTTGTTTTATTTGACATCAGACTTGCTTTATCTGTGATGTAAATCACAACACAAATGGAAACTCTTTCTGGCTCCAGGTTGAAGACAGTGATGTGAAACTCTCTGAAAAGGCACAGCAGGCGTTGAAGGTAAAATGAAACATTTTTGTTAAAGCAAAGAAGTTCCACTTTCATAAACCACTGTGCAAAAAAACCTGAGCTCCTACCAAACTGTCTTTTATTTTGTGTGTTACTTCTCTCCTACAAGGCTTGCCTGTTCTTTGAAACTCTGACCTATAAAAAGTACATTGTATGTAAAAGTTTGAGGGTTTCTTTCTGTCAGAGAATGACAAACCCCAAGGGCAAAAAAGAGCTCTAATAAAGCTACAAATTCATGGAAGTCTCCCTCAACGTTACTCCTGGAGCTCATGTGTTCCCAAAAACCCCCCCCAACTCAATGCCACTCTACATACAAACTTTCTTTTAACTTAATTAGCCTGCTAAATGTCTAAAGGAAAACACTCCGGAAAGAAAAAGGCCTTTGGAATCTGGGAACATCTTAAATCACATGAGTTTCACATTTGTGGTCGAATTTGCGGTTCCCTGGCATGTTCATTATAAGTAGATTCATTTCCCTGCCCTGTCCTTTTAGCTCAGGGGACTGACAAACTGCAAACAAAAAAAAGCTCTGCCCTGTGGTTGTGACAATGACTTGGAACTTCCCAGCTGCTGGCAAAGCCAAAATGGGGGGGAGGCTCTTCCAAACCATCCTGCCACTGGCCCTGCTGGATCCGGGATAAAACTCTTCATTTCATAAACTTCTGATGGATGCTGTTTAAAAGAAAAACCTTCTCTCTTGGAGCAAGCACATGAGAAAATGAGAAAATCCTTGATCCAGCCTGTGATGTTACTGTTTGTTTGTTCCTGTTCAGGAGGATAAATCTTTCCTGGGCACTTTACTCACTGGAGGGGATGGAGTGTATCTTTGTTCCAGCAATCCACAGGCCATGCCTGCAGAAGGTGAGATGTGCTTGGGTGGGGGTTTTTTTTTGTTTGTTTTCTTTTTTTTAGGTGGTTTTTTTTTTTAGTTTTTTAAACAAAAGAGACACATTTTCTGGTGAGCCAAACTGCACCATCACCTTAAGCTTTCTTTCCACTTGCCTTTACATCTTTCTGCTCTTAAATTCCATCTGTTGTTCTGTTTATCCCCAGCCTCTGCTTGAAACTCCTGATCCTGGAAGAAGGATTCCTCTAGGCTTACTTTGGATGGACAGTGAGGCTTTGCAGACCTGGGAGATGCCTTTTTTTCAAAACATGCCCAAAATGGCTGTTTCTGTCTTTAATAGATGATGTGCCAGATGTTTCCTACCTTTTCTGTATCTATATGAACATGAAGTTGAAAAGATTGGGCATTACAGTCCTTCCAGCTCTGGAAGTGAAGGCAAATATGGACCTTTACACTGCCTCTGATGTAGGAAGGGATGTTATAAACTCATTTACAGCCTTGTATTTGCCTCTACAAAAAGCTCTTCCCAGAGCTGATGTGCTGTTCCCACTTTTTCCATTTCTATTTTCACTCAGGAATTCAGTGTTTCCCAGCACAGGTTCTCACTGTGCTACAGGAAGATGCTTGATCTTGGTTCTTCTCAGATTCAATCCAGTTACTGCTTTCTGACACAAAATTACTCACGGGAATCTTGGATTATTCCTCCTCTTTTGGCACCTTTTCCTTCAAGAACTTAAGGGAACGTGAATATCCCAATAATACAACTAAAGACAATTTGGGTTGTTGGGAAGGTTTTCCCTCACTTCCCTCACTCCCTCCCTTGTGCCTTGAACCAACAGATTTTTTTAAGGCCTGATATTTGATATTCCAATGTACAGAGAATGTGCAGTTGTGTCAGTGCTGATGTACAAGAGAGATGATGAATATCTGACATGAAGTTCTCAGCCCGAGCTGATGATCTTCAGAGGAGAATTTTCAGCTTTGTAGTTCTGCCATGTGGTGTCCAGGATAAATAATGAGGTACAAGGCAATTAAAAAGCAACTGTCAAGTAGAGGAATCTGCTTTTGCTCCAACTGAGCAGATTTTAAAGCAAAAATCTTCATGCAGAATATGATATTTAGCTGTTCTGCTGTGGGCATGTGTTCACTCAGTAAATAATGAGAGAACGGTGGCATTTTTTTGGCTCTGTTAAAATTTGCTGTTTGTGCCCCAGTGAAGCAATTTACTTATTCCCTTTTTTTTTTGGGGGGGGGAAGATTTATGGAGTTAAATGTCTTGATAACTTTTGGGATGCAAAGTTCCAATAGGGGGTATCAGGACCATTGTGAGTGAGGGGTTATGTCAGTGGGTGAGGGATTTTCTTGGCTCTCAAGTGAAAATGAAGTTGAGCTCGTTCCCTTTTTGTTGTGCTCAAATTTGGGCTCTGCTGAGGTTGCAGCTCTGTGGTCTGGCACTATTGGGTGCAAAAGGTGCATAAAATCATGGGATGGTTTGGGTGGGAAGGGGCCTTAAAGCCCATCCAGTCCCACCCCCTGCCATGGGCAGGGACACCTTCCACTAGCCCAGGTTGCTCCAACCTGGCCTTGGAATCTTCCAGGGATCCAGGGGCAGCCACAGCTTCTCTGGGAAATTTATTCCAGTTTCTTACCACCCTCACAGGGAAGGATTTCTTTCCAATATCCAACCTAAATCTTCACTTTTCCAGTGGGAAGCCATTTCCTGTGTCCTGTCCTTCCATACCTTGTCCCCAGTCCCTCTCCAGCTCTCCTGGAGCCCCTTCAGGCCCTGCCAGGGGCTCTCAGCTCTCCCTGGAGCCTTCTCTTCTCCAGGGGAACCCCCCCAGCTCTCCCAGCCTGGCTCCAGAGCAGAGGGGCTCCAGAATCATGGAGTGGTTTGAGTTGGGACTGTCAATCCTGCTGATTCCACCCCCTGCCGTGGGCAGGGACACCTTCCACTAGCCCAGGTTGCTCCAACCTGGCCTTGGACACTTCCAGGGATCCAGGGGCAGCCACAGCTTCTCTGGGCAACCTTTGCCAGGGCCTCCCCACTCTCCCAGCCAACAATTCCTTCCCAGTATCCCACCTAACCCTGCCCTCCTTCAGCTTAAGGCCATTTTCATTAAAACAAAACCTTAATACTGAACAAGTTTGAAGATCTCATCCCAAGCTGCCATTCCAAGTGGAAAACATCTTGGATCCTTTATTATTTCCTCCCAGCCTTGTTCTGGGAGCTGGGCAGGCACTTTCAGCCATATATTTTAGTTACTTTGATTTTTTTTTTTTTGAAATGTAACCGAATAAAACCTGGTTTATTTTCTTCTTTTTTCTTTAAAGAAAATATTTAACTTTTCCCTTTTGCTGACTCACAGACTTCCCTGTGTGGGATGTGATGTTTCTTCTAAAAGCAGAGGGCCAGCTGGCAGCCCCTGCTCAGACATTTGTTCGTGGCTTTCTGAAGCCTGTCAGAAATCAGCTGTTTGCTGATACCACTTTCTAACACTTTGATGGAATTTTCTTTTATCCATTATCCCACCCAGCCTTGCTGTTTCTCATTTCCAGCTGCTCTCCTTCAGGCAGGTTTGCTAAGAACCAAAATTTAAATGTCATAAATGTCGAAGTGGAGTATTTAAACATTGTTTCAATTTTAAAGTTGACTTTTCAGTTTAAATTCCAGGTTAACTTTTAATTTAAAACTTAATTTTTTAGTTAATTTTTCCCCTCTAAATCAAACTGTAACAGTGTTTGATTTTGCCCCTTAAACTATTTGTTCAACGTTTAAATTTCGGGTCATTTGGGATGTAAGCTTTTCTTAAATTCTTGTATTGTCAGTCTTATATTTCTGGAAGTTTGAAATTCAATGGGATGAAATTTTTTTAGCTTTTAAAGAAAAAAAAAAACCACCTCAGAATATTTATGATAAAGAGGCTCCAGGGGGTAAAATGAAGCCAAATGCAATCACAATGATACACAAAAACCAAAATCCTGCAGGAACATGGATTTTTTTTTTCCTCAGGAAGGAATGACATTCATCACAAGGTGCTGAAATATTGATACATAACTAATATAAGTCTTTTTCCTCTCAAATTGTAGGTAAACTGTACTTCTTTTCTGATGGCATCCTCTTTGCTCATCCCCACCACGGCAGCATTTCCATCTCCAAGAAGCACATGAGTTCCATCTCCCTCTATGATGGGGTGAGTGTTTGCTCTGGTTTTCCTGCCAGCAGCTCTTTATCAATCTTTAATAACAATAATTCTGGTGCAAAAATCTCCATTTCAGCCCCATTTCTTAGTTCAGTTTTTACCTGTGTCTGTACAACTGTAAATAACTGGTGCAAATCTCCACACTTTTGGTGCTGATTGACTTAACAAATCAGTGATTAGTGAGTAAAGAGGGAGGGAATTTTGTATTAATCTGGGTGAGCAGTTTGGTGTTAATAGTGTGAAAATTGCTTTGGACTGAAGGGAAAATTGCAGAGCGTGACATTCATGAAACATCCACCAGGGTGGAGGGGTGGACAGAGGGAAGGTCGAGGTGTTCTGGTGTCATGTGGTGTTTGGGAGGGTGAAATGCTGCCTTTTATTCCCATTAGATTCCAATATCACTTGTTGTGGCTCAGTGGGAACCGAGAGGTCCGTGGTGGCAGCTCAGCTGATTTTTCCTGCTCAAGGCAGACACTCTGGGTTTAACTGTCACTCCTTCAGAGTGCAAAAGAGATTATTTGGGTTGGCTACTGTTTTCCTAAAGTGGGGAAAACCCCAATTTCCTTTAGTTGCTCTGTTGTTCGGGTACCTCCACGTATGATTTCGTCCTCTAATCCAGGAAAGCAGTGACCCACGACCCCAGTGTGTGATCCAAACACATTCCAGCCCAGGGAATCTCACCTGAGCTGCCTTTCCTTGGACATCACGGGCTGCCCCTTGCAGTTTAAGAAGCTATTTTAACACTGACCTTCCTTCTATTGTTTGAGTCAAGACACTCACTTTCAGAAAGCTTCCTAGTTCTGGGACCTGGCCATCCCTGCTGAACTGGTGCCAGATTTTTGTGTGAGGCCAAGCCTTGACAGAGAGAATATTATTGTTCTACTGCCTTGGCATAATGCAAGGGTGGAGGGTTTGAACTGCTCAGAAGCGACAGGAGAAGCAGGGTAATTGTTCCTTCCTTTTTTCCAAGAGTTACTGCAACAGTATTAATGGAAAAAGAAAGGTTAGTTTAATGCTGGGATTCAAATAAAAAATACAAAGGCCTGAAGTGATGCAAGGTGCAGGT